CCCCCAGCCCCTCCTGCGGGACACCGGCATCTCCATCCCACCGGGATGTTCCTCCCACCCCCAGCCCCTCCTGGGACACCAGGACACTCCCAAGATCCCCTGTGGGGACCCCTCTGTGTCCCCCCACCCCGTGTCCCCCCCAGGGTTCCCATCCCACCTGGAGCCCCCTCCGGTCCAGCTCTCCGGCGGTCAGGGCGCTCTGGAGCTGCTGGAGCCGCTCCTGGAGCAGGGAACCATCGGACATGGAGGGAGCGCTCGGAGAATCCTTGGAATCGCTCTCCAGCGGGGCACTGAGCAGCTGGAATGTGCTGGAACGCTGCTCACTCTGGGCCAGCTGCACCCCAACACCACAGCAGTGGGGTCAGGGGGAACTGGGGGGACTGGGAGAGGGTTCAGGGCAAACTAGGGAACTGGGAAAAGGTTTGGGGAGACTGGGAGGGGATACAGGGGGAACAGGGAGGGGGGTCAGGAGGAGCTGGGGTAACTGGGAGGGGGGTCAGGGGGAAGTGGGGGACTTGGAAAGGGTTCAGAGGGAAATGGGAAGGGGCATGGGGGGAACTGGGGGGCTGGGAAGGGGTCCAGGACAAACTGTGAGGGGGTTCAGGGACAACTAGGGGGAACTGGGAGGAGATTCGGGGGAAACTGGGGAGACTGGGATGGAGTTGAGCAGGAACTGGAGGGACTGGAAAGGGTTCGGGAGAAATGGAGAACTGTGAGAAAGATTGGGAGGGAGTTCAGGGGGAACTGGGGGAACTGGATTCATCAGCCGGGGGGTGGGATTTCCCGGGATCGGTACCACAGCTGTCTCTGGGATTTCCCGGGATCGGTACCACAGCTGTCTCTGGGATTTCCCGGGATCGGGGCCACACCTGTTTCTGGAGCAGCTCCGCCCGTTCCTTGGCCTCCTTGGCCTCCGCTTCCCGCTCTCCCAGTGCCCGCCGGGCCCGGCCCAGCTCCCCCTCCAGCACCCGCCGCTGCAGCTCCAGGCGGCAGCTCCGGCTCTCCAGCGCTTCCAGGCGCCGCTTGGCATCCAGGAGCTCGGCCCCCCCGGCCCGCGCCGCGCTCAGCCGCTCCTGCGGGGCGGGAAGGGCTCCGGAATGCCGGCCTGGAGCCGGGATGGGCCGTGCCCGCCTGGCAATGCCCACAGCATTCCCACTTGGAAGCGATGTGGGAATGCCCACTTGGGCTGCCCAGAATTCCCACTTGGATATGGAGGTTTGTGGCAATGCCCACCTGGGCTGCCTGGCATTCCCACTTGGAATCCCACTTCATTGGGATTCATGGAGTTTGCACAGTGGGTTTTATCAGTTTTACTGGGATTTCTGGAGCCTGCACGGGGTGTTCACCAGTTTTACTGGGATTTACATGGGATCCATAGGGGAGTTCACCAGGTTTACTGGGATTAATGGAGGATGAAGATGTGGCAATTCCCACCTGGGCTGCACATCATTCCCACTTGGAAGTGATGTGGGAATGCCCACCTGGGCTGCCAAAATTCCCACTTGGATATGGAGGTTTGTGGCAATGCCCACCTGGGCCACCCAGAATTCCCACTTGGAAGCAGAGGGACATGGGGATGCCCACCTGTGCTGCCCGGCATTCCCATTTGGAAGTGGGGGTTTGTGGCAATGCCCACCTGTGCTGCCCGGCATTCCCGCTCGGAATTGCGGAGGCTCCGCTCCAGCGCCGCCACCTTGTCCCGGAGCTCGCGGCGTTCCCGCTGGGATTGGCGCAGGGTCTCCTCCTGGAGCAGGAGTGTGGCCTGGGAGCTGCTCAAGTCCCCCCGGCGCCCTGGAAAGGCACAGCCCCCACCCCCCTTCAGCGGGAAAACGGGTGGGAATGGGATGTCCGCTGGTTTTCCTGGGATTTACGAGGGATCCAGAGGGGGTTACGAGGTTTACTGGGGGTTATGGGGGACAAAGAGAGGGTTTACTGGGGTTTATGGGAATGTAGAAGGGGTTTACTGGGGTTTATGGGAATGTAGAAGGGGTTTACTGGGGTTTATGGGAATGTAGAAGGGGTTTACTGGGGTTTATGGGAATTGCAGGGGGGATTTCCTGGGATTTACAGTGCCTGCACAGGGGGGTTTTACCAGTTTTCCTGGGATTTACAGGGGATCCATAGTGTGGTTTACCAGTTTTACTGGGGTTTATGGGAGGTTCAGGGGGGTTTCACCCACTTTACTGGGATTTATGGAGTTTGCTCGGGGCACTTCCCGGTTTTACCGGGGTGGGTGGGGGATGCAAAGGGCTTTCACCAGTTTTATTGGGGCTTATGGGGGATGCAGGGAGGGTTCACTGGGGTCTAAGAGGGATGCACAGGGGTTTTACCCATTTTATTGGGATTTATGGAGATTGCACAGCAGGTTTCCCAGTTTTACTGGGATTTACACGGGATCCATAGGGAAGTTTACCAGTTTTACTGCAGTTTATGGGGAATGCACAGGGGTTTTACCAGTTTCATTGGGATTTATGAAGTTTGCTCGGGGGGTTTTACCACTTTTATTGGGGTTTATAGGAAATACAGGGGACATTTACCAGTTTTACTGGGGTTTACGTGGGATCCAGAGCAGGTGTGACCAGTTTTACTGGGATTTATGGGGCCTGCACTGGAGTTTTACCCGCTTCACTGGGATTCATGGAGTCTGCACGGAGGGGTTCACCAGTTTTACTGGGATTTACATGGGATCCATAGGGGAGTTCACCAGTTTTACTGGGATTTGTGGAGGATGAGGAGGGGCCTTACCCATTTTATTGGGGTTTAGAGGGGACATAGGAAGGTTTTTACCAGTTTTTACTAGAGTTTATGGGGAATCCAGAAGGGTTTTAACCATTTTTTTGTGGTTTAGAGGGGATGTAGAAAGGTTTTTACCAGTTTTACTGGAGTTTATAGGGGATCCAGGAGGGTTTTACCCATGTTATTGGGGTTTATGGGGTATATATGGAGGTTTTTACCAGCTACACTGGGGTTTACAGGAGATGCAGGGGGAGTTTTCCCAGTTGTACCAGTTTTACTGGGGTTCCTGATGTTTGCACCGGAGGTTTCACCCATTTTCCCAGGAGCCATGGGGGGGGGGGAAATCCCAGGGACCACCCTCCAGTCTGGGCGGCACCATCGCCCTCCCCGTGCCTCAGCTTCCCCCAAAAGGGTCCAGCACAGGCCAAATCACCCCAAACCTCACCCAAAAAATCCCATCACCCCCATCACCTTCCTCGCTCTCTTCCATGAGCTTCTGGAGCTGCTGTGCCCGGGAATTGGCGTTATCCCGATCCTGCTCCGCCTCCGCCAGGCGCCGGCCCAGGCTCCCGACCTGCACGCGCAGCTCCTCCTGGGGGCGGGAATGAGCTGGGAAAGGGGATTTTTGGGATAACAGCGGGGGGGGGGGGGGGGGGAGGAGAAGGGGGATGTACCCGCTCTCGCTGCGCCTCCTGCAGCTCCCGCAGGAATTCCCGCAGGGCCGCCCGCGCCGCCTCGGGATCGGATGCGGGGTCGGGCTCCGGGGAGGAGCCGGGGCTTCCTGACCCCTCTGGGGCCCCGCCTGGGTGGGACAAACAGCGGGAATGGGGACAAACACCGGGAACGGGGACAGCGGGAGCAGCACCCGGGGCAGGATGAGAGGGGGAGGGGGATGGACCCCAGGGATGTAAGGATGAGGCAATGGGGTGGGAGGGACCCCAAGGATGCAGGGAACAGAGCAATTGGAGAGCCCAGGGCTGCAGAGAAGGGAGCAATGGGATATGTGGGACCCTGGTGATGCAGGGGACAGAGCAGTGGTGTATGGGAGACTCCCAGGGATGGAGCAATGGGGTGATGGATGACCCCAGGGATGCAGGGAATGGAATAACTGGGTATGGAGGATCCCCAGGGATGGAGCAATGGGATGATGGGCAACCACAGGGAAGCAGAGGATGGAGTAACAGAGTGATGGGGAATCCCCAGGGAAGCAGAGCATGGAGCAGTGGGGAGACGGGGATCCCCAGGGAAGCAGAGCATGGAGCAGTGGGCTGACTGATGGGTAACCCCAGTGACACAGTGCCCGCCGCAGGACGCACCCCTCTTCCCCAGCCCTGCCGCAGCCCCGGGGCTCTCACCGGGGGCCGGGGGGCCGGGCCGGGCTCGGGCCATGCCCACGGTTCTCCGCAGGGCCGCCTGGAGCCCGCCCAGCCGGGACTCGGCCGCCCGGCGCAGCTCCTCGCCCCGGGCCAGCTCCGCCTCCAGCCCCTGGGCCCGGCCCTGGGCCGCGCTCAGCCGCAGGCTCAGCTCGGACACTTCGCCCCGCGCCGCCTCCACCTTCAGCTGCAGGTTCCGGGAGTCCGCCAGCAGCTTCTTCTCGTTGCCGCGAGCCTCCTCCAGGCTCCGCGCCAGCTCCTTCTCCCGCTGCCGGAATTCCGCCTCCGCCTCCGCCAGGCGCTGCTGGAGCTGCTGGAGCTGCGGGAGGGAAGGGGCCATGGGCCAGGGGGTGGTGACAGGGGTGGAGGGCGGGGTGAGGGAAGAGGGGGAGTGGTGGGGATGGGGGACCCCTAAGGATGCGGGGGATGGAGCAATGGGGGAGGGGGACCCCAGGGGTGGAGCAATAGGATGAGGGGGGACTCCAGGGAGGCAGAGCATGGAGCAGTGGGGTGATTTTGACCCCAAGGGATGGAGCAATGGGATTATGAGGGATCCCTAAGAATGCAGATGGTGCAATGGGGTGATGGGGGACCCCATGGATGAAGGGGATGGAGCAATGGGTTGACAGGGAACTCCAGGGATGCAGAGGGTGGAGTAATGGAGTAATGGGGGACCCCAGGGATGCAGGGAACACAGCAACAGGGTGATGGGGATACAAGGGATGGAGCGCAGGGTGAGGGAGACTGAGGGGATGGAGTGATAGGAGACCCTCCAAGAATGGAGCAATGGGATACAGGAACCTGCAGGGATGCAGGGGATGGAATGGTGGGGTGACAGGGACACCCAGGGACACTCAGGGACACGGGATACCAGTTATGGGGTGATGGAGGTGACTGGGGACAGCAGGCACCGAGCTGTGGGGTGAGGGGACAGCAACACCTCTGGACACACAGCCGGGGGGGGACAGGGATACTTTGAGGTGTGGGGCACCAAGCAACGGGGTCCTGGGGATCCTTGGGGACCCCTCACCTCCTTCCTGGCAGCCTCCGTGTCGGCCTCGCTCTCCGCCACCTTCCTCCTGAGGCCGAAGGCTTCGCGGCGGCTCCGCTCCTCCCGCTGCTCCTCCAGCGCCACGCGCGCCTGCAGCTCTCCCACCTCCCTGCTCCGCCGGCTGTTCTCGCTGTCCAGGTCCTTCACCTGGCCCGGGAGGGGACGGGGGGCGGCTTGGGGACACTCCGAATGGCTTGGGGGGTCCTCACAACCCTCCTCCTCCTCCTGCCCCCGGACCTGCCGGCGCAGCTCCTGCAGCTCCCGGCGGGCGTCCAGGCGGCCGCGCTCCAGGTCCCGCAGCGCCGCCCGCAGCTCCGTCACCTCCCGCTCGGCCGCCGCCCGCCCCGCCTCCAGCAGCGCCAGCCGCTGCTCCTTGTCCTCCCCGGAACGCTTCAGGCTGCGGGAAGCGGGAGCAGGGGCTGGAAGCACCTCCCAGGGGGTCCCAGCATCCCCCCGGCCCAGCAGCGTCCTGAGCATCGCCCTGTCTGAGCCAGGCATATCCCGCTCCAGTCTGTCCCCATCCGGGCTGTCCCCCCATCCTGGGTATCCCCCCATCGAGTCCCCCTATCCCCAGATTTCCATCCCCTTGTTCCGAGTGGCATCCAGACCTGGAGCAATTGCCCGTCTCAGCTGGACATCCCTGTGTCCTGATCCTCACCCCCACCCCGGGGATCACCCTCCAAGGTGCTGCGTCACCCCTGCACCTCCCAGCTCTTGCTTCCCCTCATCCCGTGTATCTCCCTAACTCCTGCACCTCCCAGCTCCTGCTTCCCCTCATCCTGAGCATCTCCCCATCCCCAAACTTCCATCCCCTTGTCCTGAGTGTCACCCGGACCTGGAGCATTGCCCCATCCCAACTGGAGCATTCCTGTGTCCTGATCCTCACCCCCACCCCGAGGATCACCCTCCAAGGTGCTCCATCCCCTCCGCACCCCACTTTGTGCCCCCCGTGCCCCCCCGGCCCTGACCTGATGCGCTCCCCCTCTGCCCTCCGCAGGGCCGCCCGTAGCTCCTCGTTGGAGCGGCGCAGGGTCTCCTTCTCCCTGGCCTCGTCTCCCAGGGCCCTGCGCGCCTCCTGCGCCTGCCTCCGCTCCGCATCCCGCCCTTCCCGGCTCTCCCGGGCGTCCCGCTGCGCTTCCAGCAGCTCCCGCCGCCCGGCTGCCCGCGCCTCCGCCGCCGAGCGCAGCTGCGCCCGCGCCTCCTCCGCCTAAAACGGGGCCGTCAAGGGGGGCCCGGGGGTCCAGGGACGGGGGGTCTCGGGGCGGGGGTCACCTCCCGCAGGGCGCTGTCCCGCTGCTTGGCCGCCGCCGCCGCCTGGTCCCGGAGCGCCCGCGCCTCCCGCTCGTGGGTCTGAGCCGCTGCCTCCGCCCGCGCCCGCAGCGAGAGCAGCTCCGAGCACAGGGACTGCGGGGACAAGGACACCCCGAGACCCTACAACGGGCTGGGGGAGCCGGGGGGCGGGGAAAGGGGGATGGGGGCACGGAGAGCAGTGCAACGGGGATGAGGGCAACGAAAGGGGAGTACAAAGGGGATGGGGGCAAGGACGGGGGGGTGCAATGGGGATGGGGGCAACGAAAGGGGAGTACAAAGGGGATGGGGGCAAGGAGGGGGGGTGCAATGGGGATGGGGGCAAGGAGAGGGGGTGGAATGCGGATGGGGGCATGGAGAGGGGGTGGAATGGGGATAGGGGCACAGAGAAAGAGTACAATGGGAATGGGGGCATGGAGAGGGGTGCAGTGGGGATGGGGCCCCGGAGAAGGATGCAGTGGGAATGGGGTTCTGGACAAGGGGTGAGTTGGGGGTGGGGTTCCAGGGAGGGGGTGCAATGGGGATGGTGCAGGGATGGGGTGAGCTGGCTTGGGTACCACAGCTGAGCAGCCCTGTTGCTGAGGGGATGCAATGGGGAGATGGGGGGCTTGAAATTGGGGGGCTGCAAGAAGGGGGGGGTCACTGGGGGGGTCTTGCAATGGTGGGGGTGTGACTCAGGCAGGGAGAGGTGCAATGGGGAGGTGCCCAGGCATGGGGGGGCTGCAGTAAGGGGGTGTTCAGGTATCAGGGGTGGCAGTAGAAGGGATACCCGGGCATGGGGGCTGCAATGGGGGACCACAGGCAACAACCACGCATGAGAGAGTTGCAGTAGGGAGTGCCCAGATATGAGGGGATGCAATGGGGGGACCATGGAGGACCCCCAGGCACAGGGGCTGCAATGGGAGGGGATACTTCAGCTTTGGGAGTTGACATGAGCGGGGACAGCCCAGTATGGGGCTTGCAGTGGGGGACACACTGGGCTCTGTGCCATTCTGGGGGGGCCCGGGAGCCCCCCAAGCCCACCTGCTCCTTCTCCTGGTGAGTGGTGACCTCTCTCCGCTGCTGCTCCAGCTCAGCCGTGGCCTCGTCCAGGCTCCGCTGGAGCCCCGCCAGCGTCTCTGCCAGGGCCGCCCTCTCCTCCTCCTGCAGGGCCAGGGCCTGGGGGGGCATGGCTCAGCCGGGGGGCACGGAGCAGGGACAGGGCCGGGGGGACCCGGGGACACCCACCTGCTGCTTCTCGCTCTGGTGCTGCTGCCGCAGCGCCGCCAGCTCGGCCACCAGCTCGTCCTGCTCCTGCATCAGCCGGCCCCGCTCGGCCTCCAGCTCCTCCTGGGAACAGCACCCAGGAACATCAGCCATCACCAGGGAACACCAACCATCACCAGGGAACCCCAACAGCACCAAGGAACCCCAACAGCACCA